TATGTCGTATTTAAACTAGCTTTTATCCTTAAAAAGTCGTTACGTTTCGAAAGTGAATTATTGTCAATTTATTATCGGTTGCCAGGCTTATGCATGTTTGCGATGGCTTAGGGGTTCATTTGCAATTTGGTCCTGTACCGGTTGTAAGTGTGCTCCTATGCTGATAGTGTACATACTTTTTTTCTTTTTTTTTTTTCTTCTTATTTGTTTTATTATGCTTATACTCAATTTTATTGTTAATTAATATTAGTTTTGCATTAAGAGCCTATTGAACTCGACTGCTATTTGTTTAGTTGAGTTTCTAGTATAAGTGGAATAAAAATAAATAAATAATGTAAATTTGTACAAAAATTAGGAGGACATTATAATGTGATGGAAGGGCGAGTATCAAAATCCCTAGAGAAGTTGTCAAGTCTTCCATCTTCATGAATTAGATTTGTGGAGCCAATGAATAGCGCAAGCGACTAAAGCTTACTTCTAGATCAGAAGTTTTCGTTTGCATTTAAGCGTCTTCATTGTACTGCGAATCCTATCTGCTGTATGTTACGAATCGATAGCAATGCATCCTTTTCCCGGGAAAATGGTGTAAGAGAATGAGTTCCAACCTCCTGACTTAATGCAAATTTCAAAATCGCACGTTCGCGTATCGCCGAAAGATGCGCAGTATTTTTTGAAATGAATTGTTGTGCTTGCGATTTTCCGACCGATTATATAAGGGAATCGCTACTAAGACGATGCTTTGTTCGTGCGGAATATTTGCTAGGAACTTTTACTTTTATGGCCTACCAGAAGAATCGGTTCATAGCAAAGCAGACAATTCTTTCAAAAATCTGAACGTAGAAGTTCCTCCGGGGATACGCTACTTGCATGCGACTTGCGCTATTAGCCACAAAAATGTTGAAGTTGGACGAGTCGAATACGACCAGTATTGAATTTATATGTTATTTGGCTAGTGAATTGACAACATTGCTTAGAAGTACGGATCAAAGATGTCAATGGTACTCAACCGAATATAACTCTCTTACTTTTTTTCTTTTAGTTTTGCTACAAATAAAAATAAGCTCGCGCACAAATTTTGCATAAATGAAACGCGATCCTTTTTGTAAGATGTACATCTTGGAACCCACTCCTTCAGAAAAAGTTTTTTACACCGAAAATAAACAATTGCCGCTTCTTTCCGGTTTCATTTGTGTAAATTACTAAAGTTGCAATTTAAACATTCCGAAGAAGTGCTGACTTTAAATAATTGATTCAATCGGAGTTTTCTTATATTGTAAAGCACTTTAAAATGTTCAATACCAGTTTGGCATTCATATAAAAGCTAGATTTAAGCCCTAGTTAATCCTTATGAATTGTTAAATAAAAAAATAAAAATGTTAAAATTAAAAAACCCCAAAGATCTAATTTGTTTTACTCATATGTGCTTGTGGAAACGAAGAACACAAAAAATCTAACATATATGAAGATGGACAAGCATATATAACCGAAAAATGTCTTTGCACGATAACATGATGAGCCAACAACAGGAATCCAAGCACAGAGGCCTAGCTGTCTGAAATCAACATTCTCTTTACATGTACAAGGAAGTACCCTTATACGTATGTCCACGTATATAAGGGCAAAATCCGAAAAAATATTATTTTATATTTTTAATTTTTTTAGTAAATCAATTTTATTTCTAAAGTCAGCTGAGTTAGTCTGGGCAAGAAATGAATAAATCACTGCACACTACCTTACAAATAGTAGTAAAAAATGGTACTTATAGTACCATTGCACAGACTATTGTAGGTACAAAGCTGGCGTGGGCTCGACGATGGCATCGCTAAAATGGAACGTAAATTTGCTGGACAATGACAAGAGTTACCGAATTTGCATTTTTTTGCTCTGTGTCATTTTCGTTGGCAATTGATAGACAATTTCAATATTTTGCCTTCGTCATAGCATTGTGATGTATTTAAATCTCTAAAACGAAAACAGTTGATAATGTAATGCTTTTGAGAGGCAAAAAACGTATAAGAACGTAAGCTTTGAAGTAATTGAGCGCAGCAAAGAGCCATCAACATCGTGCTCGTTTATAGCGTTCGCATACGATTTTTGACTTGACTCAATTGAAACTTATAGCTCTGCTTTTCTTTGCAACTTTCATTCCAAAAACCTCCTTGATGCGTTTATGGAAATTAGGAAGTGTATTATTAAATCGTTCTTTTGACAAATTAATGGTCTTCATATAGTTAGCATTAATAGCCCCCAACGATGACAGATTCGCCAAAGCGGCTTTGTAAACATGGCAAAGTTTCTTCCGTCCAATTGTTTTTTCTGTTTCGATAATTTTGGTTTGCGCTACGGAGCAAGATGCTGTGTTTTCTTCCAATAAAATACGACGTATGGTTGACTTATTTCTGCGTTTATTATTGCGCTTAATCGATAAGTGTGCTGTCTATTTCCCCTAAAGCGGATTGTGTTTGAAGAAATCTTCCAGTTAGTTGTTCAAGATATTCAACCTTGCTGCTGTTTATTAGATTTGCTCATTATTGTGATTTAAATTGAAAAAAGAAAGATGACGAATATACGTTTAATGTAAACAGCCGATTATTGAAGAAAAAAAGAAACAAGCAAATTGAAAATTTGTCTTTAGGTATAAGATGATATCAATATATTTTATGATCGAAAATTTACTTAAATTCTTTTCAGATCCGTTCAGGGCAGAGGTTTTTTGAATTATTGTTTATTGTGCACCCCGAATGTTTAATTTATTCGCAATTTTAAATTACTCTATTTAAAAATAATTAATTTATAATGTATTAAGAATAATGATATTACGCAAAGAAATAAACGATTGCCAAATTTTCCCTGAGGCATAAGCTCGATGAAATAACAGTTCTTAGAGCCGAAATTTCGTATAGAATTTAATTCAAATTTATCTGGTTCAAATAATGTTTGTTTGGCAATTTATTTGCGAGCACAAATATGTATATTATTTGCACTTTTGAATAACCAGACAAATGAAATTAATTTTCAAAGTACCTTTCGGACAATTTAAACAGCAAAAATCAAGATGGCGGAGATTTGCTTCACATATATGAACGCTTGATATAAACTATCAAATGTTAATGCACCAATTAACTTTTTTGAAGTTAACTTTTCACTGCAAACTATCTTAAATTTGTTTGTACAGAATGATTTTTGTTTTGTTGTTTATTGCGTCGTGTGCGTTATTTGTCTTCTCCACACTTTATAGCAAAGGCGCAAACAAATCTATGGCTAAAGCGTATGGCCATCACAATGTAGCGTTTTGAACTGACTGTTCGCGAGAGTTTGTTTAATTTGGCTTAAACCACTTGTTTTAGCATGGTTGTTGCAGCGCGAAGCAAAGTTTGTGGTTGTGAGCCTTCGAATGAACGTATAAACACAACCAATACCGATGGTGTATATTCCACACAATAAAAGTCTATGAACCGAATGTTTATAGAATTTGTTTAAATTTGCTAAAATCCAAATGGTTTTATTTTGCACCTTCATGTAATTCATGTGGAAGAAAAAGTTTAAACAAAAAAAAAACCGAATTTTGTCACATCCGGTCACAAAATGTTAGGAAATGCACAAGCTTTCTGCATTATTTTTTGCAGTTGTAAATAAAACTAGAAACGAAAACGTTGTGTGTTTGTTAATCTTTTCCGATTAATTTTGTTACAACATGATTGCAGTTTTGTTGACGAACGATGAACGATTGATTATGGTTTATAAATAACTTAAAGTGACGCAAGAGAAAACTAGTGAAAACAATCACCGTATAATGTAACAGAATTCTTATTTTTACTATAGAACTTAAAAATTATACCCCGTTTTTATGTTAACTTAATATTAGGGAAATGTGTATTAAAAATTATACTCCTTTGCAAATAAAGGCTCACTTTTCGAAATAATTGTTGTAGCCAAGAGGTTCAAGAATTGTGGGACGTATTCAAAATTCAGCATTAATTTTTACATCAAACTGCTATTATGGATCAATTTTCCTCATCAAATATTGAAACTTTTCTGCCCTAAAAAGACAAATATATTCGTAAAAATCCTTGTGTAGATTAGCATCCAAAAACAGGCGTAGGTGGTCCAAGTTTGGCACAGTTAATTTTTTTCTTATATTACTACTACGGTCTGATTTTCACCATGGCACAATGAAAATTTGACCTTTTTGTTATATGAACTTCAGTTTTCGTTATATGGGAGTAGCTCAAAAAATTTTTCCCAGCCGGTCCAAAGTTTTTGCACCAATTTAGAATGCCGAAATACTAATACTTACCCACTTTTGTCGACAAATTTTGAAAATTGCAATTTTTTCCATATAACAACTTTTTAGGTTCTTGTGTCGAAATATGTCAATGTACCAAATTTTATCAAAATATCTCAAAAATTGCAATCTGTAGCTTGGATGTAAATTTTCATGGACAGACAGAAAGACGAGGAATCATTTTGTGAATCGACGGTTATAATAAAAGGCGTGTTTATCTTAATCATGCGAATTTCTTCAGCATGTAATGTAGGGTGTCAAAATTGTATATGGTTAATATATAATGTTTTCGCACAACACTAGATGAAAGCTTAACGCTTTCACGTGAGCGTGTTTGCATGGGCAAATATAACGATTCAATACTTAGTAACAGAGACCTCCAAATTTACTTAGCTTATTTCTAAAATGCTTTTAAATCTCTAAATTACGCGTTTACTTCTTTACTCTTCGTTTGCGCTATTAAATTTTCGTTGAGAACTTAGTTAGTCCGGACCTTGAGTTGCCTCGATACCACAATTTTTTCAAAACAAGGAGCCACTATATAACTCAGTTTTGGTCTTCGACTTGCGCTGGATAGTTTTAATTTTCTATTTTCTTGACGAATTTGTAACCAACGCAATCATGTCAGTTACCTTATCGATGGATTACATCGAAGTCAAACTTTGTTTCTCGAAACTGTTTTATATATAGTCTAGCGGTTCTTGACTTCGTTTCTGTTACAGTTTAACCTCTGCAAAAGCTGCACAATCCCTTACCAACCAAAAACATTCCAAACGATAAGATTTCGAAATTACAAATAATATTTTTGTGGGATGGGAGATCTGGTCAAGACATCTTAATACATCTTCAACAAGACCTACATATAAAAAGAATAATAATAATAGGAATAGTAATACTACTACTAATAATAATAATACAAATAAAATAGATAACAAATGTAGAATTAACAATGTGCTGCAGAATAAAGGTAAGCATAGATGTTGATGATCCAGGTGCATGAAAACTTTTAGGTCGCGATGGGGTTTGCGAATAAAATAATAATAATAATGACATTTTTGTTACAGTCTATATAGAATTCGTAGTCCAAATGCATAAATAATGTAAAAATTTTTCTTTAGGGAAAACCAAGCCAACTGCAAATAAAGAATAGTTCTCTATAAATTCTATAACGTTTTGTAGAACGTGACAACCTAGTTATGCTTATTATTGTTTGTTATTTTCCTTATTTCTTAGTTTTTTACCCAACGGGATATTTGCAAAATTGTGTGTTGCAAATCTTCTTTCAACATTGCGAGAAATATGGTCAATATGTTTGCAAAATATAATCTTTTTTCGTCTTTTTAGCATTGTAATTGCTTTACATAATTTTTTGTAACAGAGCCTATCAATTTAATAAAAGGATGTAGGACAGCTTTCACTTTTATTGTCAATTGATCGTATGAACAAGAATCCTATTGGAGGTTACATGCACGTTCCTACGATATACATATACAAGTCAGTACCTAAAGTGATGGCGCAGCTATAGCAATTTGTTTTCACTTCCTTTGCATGTATTGCAATCATAGCTTCTGAGCTAAAAATTTTAATACATTTTAATGAAAACTTTTTGTACGGCTTGAAAAACATTTCTTTTGATTGAAAATATGTAAACAAATTAATATTGCTTATATGTAGGTAAATATATTTAATATTTTTTATGCATTATTCATGACTTATTCCGTAAAGTGCCAACAGAGCTGTTTCTCAGACTATGGCGAGTTTTGAAAATAATGGATGGCAGAAAATAATTGTAATAATTACATTAATTATGTCACTCACATTGGATATCAGCCA